GCTGAAACTGAAATTTCGGATCTCTCTCTGTGCCCTGATGGATACAGACAGTTAAGTCCAGTTAGGCTGGCCATGCATTTACCTTGCATCTAATGCCGAACGGACGCCCGTTAGGATCCGAGCTATTTCGCGCGCTCCAAATTTGAATATTAATTAGACTACATCAGCTGAGTAGAGAAACTTGTTCTAGGGACCTCTGTGATGTGTGTAGTAGCTTATTTTCCGATCTAGCGGATTTTCTTACGTAAAGGTGCGCACCCTTTCTAGGGGGTGCTTGCGATGGCCACATACAAGAGCACATAGTGAATCATACACAGAACAGGTCCTTTTGATCATCGAACGTTGCCGATGACATAGCCGAGAAGCAATATAGAAATCCGAAAGATAGTTCGAAATATTGCATCGAGTTCTTACGAACCGCAACTTGCGTAGCCTTCATTTTTAGCAATTGCCACTTTTGTGGGACTAGATAAATTTGGACATTATCGTGTCATTATGTTTCGCTTTAAATTTTAATCGCCAAAACAAGATCTGTTTTAGAAATTACGTTGAACACTATTTCCAACACCATCTGTGGCCTGTAAACGACACGTTAATGCTTGCAAGAACAGAGCATTCTAATTGTATTGAGCTTATTAAAGGATACTAGGGACGAAAACCTAATGTCGAATAATTAGTAAGGACTAAGCTTGATGAGCTAACTATTCTAAGAAAAGGGTTGCTGGAATAGTTGATTCATTGCTAGCCACTGATAGTGTTCGATGAAAAGAAGGCCAAGCGATGGGCTAAGGAGTAGAAGCGGCAAGCAAAGAAAGAGAAATGGCTACTAGATTAGGTTGTAAAGCGGGCGTGGAGGCATTTACAGGGAGTGGCCCCGGTCGGTTTTGATCTCAAAATCGATGCAGAGGGGACATGGTAAAGCTTTCAAACGATCCTGAATGAACGCTACCCTTCGAAACAAGTAGGTTCGCTAGCAGACGTATCCAGAGTTCGAGATTGCCAAGCGGTTGCTGCTAAAAAAAAAAAAGCTGGACAGAGAGCTCACTTTTTTGGGCAACATTTGAAGAACAGTAATTTCAGCGCTTTTCAATAATTTTCTTAGCGCAACGAGGGTGACTTTGTAAGTTCGGTTAGTCCGGGTAATTCGAGACAACCAGCTTGGGTAGTCTGGTGTTTCTTGGTGTGAACGGCCGCAATAAATTGTGCTATCTCCACGTAATGTCAGAACGGGCGTGCGGCTCGGGCTTCATGGGCAAACTCGATCACTTAAGACCTGCACGATGATGTCCATTTCATGGCAGATCGACTAGCGAACAATTGATTGAGATTGAAAGAGTGTTCGTTCGATTATGAGAAAATTGAAAAGCACATAGCTGACTACTTAAGCAAACCATGTTTTATTCCTTTGATTTGAAACGGTGTTAGAGCTATCTGCGCTTTTTAAGCAGCCGAGGTTTTCGTGCCGTGCGCAAACAACTGTTCGCCGCGTGGCGGGTACAGCGTCTTCTGGGCATCGATTTAGGTTAGGTAACGGATCGGAGCATAGGATAGTAGGCAGGGAAAACAGTCGAAATCTTTACGGAATACTACCTGACAAAAACATGCATGTCAGGATGACGGAAGATTTGGTTTTGTGCCGCAAACACGTGCAAGATGCCGTCGATCGCATCAGAAGCCGGAAGTTGCGCGGGCCCCCTTAGTCGGCTTTATAAACAATGGAACTGCGTGCGAGATTACGGAGAGCACTGAGCAGTGCGGCGCGAAGCTAGATCCATTCGGCGCGAGAGGCCAATGGCGTCGGGAATGTAGGAATCCCGTCGGACAAGCGCAGCTTAGTTGTCATGGATAGCCACTCCGCTTTTCTTGGATTTTTTCATTTGTTTGTAACAGAAGTTACGTCAACAGAAGAGAGTCAGATACAATACGATTAGGAGATCCACGTCGAAGCGCTGGTCTTATCCGTAGACGTATGTGCTAGGGGGATTAGGTACGATAGCTAGCAAGTTTACGTTCGGACCACTAATCAAAGCGAGCACGCAGAAATTGCGTAGTTGAGATTCTGTCCGTAGATGCTGGCAGATAGATAGCGGAAATTTCAAGCAAGGGTGACCTTTAATGCTCACTTTCCGACTAGAACGTTCGCAAGTTAATATGTATGCGATAGTGCATGTATAACATTTCGTACAGAGGTAGTATCGATTAGTGGTAGTTTGTCCTATTTTGAACACGTCCTCAGGCGAAAGGAGCCTGTTTAATGTACCATTTATTAAAAGACCTAAAAGATATATGCTGATGTGATTATTTTAACTAGGCTATGTGACCTTGAACTAGGATATGCAATATGGTAGTATAATGGCCTCGTTCATTCATAGGCAAGCGTTTGTAAATATGCATCTACCAGTTGCCGGTTATCACAGCTTCCTTTGAGCGTCTGTATCACTCTCCGCATAGGAAAGTGCTACAGTCCTTTTAATAACAGTTGACCGTTTTTGCTGATTTTGATTCACTCTGATGAACGCCTCAACCGATACTCACTCGCTTTTGTCTGCTAGAGAAAAAAAATCATCGACATCCTGTACGATGTTCATACATAGGACTCGCCCGCTGAATTTTTAAAGTATTCCATAGGCGATTTTGAAGATATATTGTATTAGAAATAATTTGTCAAATACAAATACAAACGAAATGCAACTATACGCAAGATAGTCTCGTATCGTCTAATGAAATCTATAGAACGAACCTAGCTCCATACCGCTAAACCAGCCAATTATACACAGTTAAGCACTCAGGCTCCCTTGTAGGTCAGAAGTAGTAACGACACTATTACCGACACCGTCGATAAAGGGAAGAAGGAAACCAAAAAAGGAAACAGGATGACTAAAAACAAAAAATCAAAAATTAAGTGACCGACTGCTATATTTCCTTGTATGTGGGTAATTTCATACAATTTATTAATAACATTAATAAATATCGACACGCTACTATTCGTTTCTGTTAGGCATGCGATCTGTGCAGCTACCCCTAACGCAGCTAATCCACAAGGAGAAGTTTAGTAGTCACTTCTAAGAGCTGTTGCCCTTCTAAGCTTCTAATTCGGAAGCAAAGTTCAACTTCTTTTCGCGACGTGCGACGTAACTCGTCATAAGGAAACGCATAGCGTGCGTCAGTCTCTTAGCAACACATATATACTATGCACGATTTCTACCGTACGAAGATTGTCAGGAGCCGTACTCTTTCCAAATTCAGAACACCATAACAGCGGTTTCTATTTGCATAACGAGTATATTAATATTGTATGAGGCCCCATGTCCTAATACTGTGTACGAAGCTGTTAAGCCGGACAAGGTCTATATCAGCATCCGCAGCAGCTTTGCGTCTGCTTTATCTAAGCAGGACTCAATTTCAAGTATTTGAATTTGTTCGTGTCCGTGGACACGGGCAATTGAATAGCCAACAAATAGCTATCTGTAGTCTTTCTGGCCAGGACGCAGGATGTCGCCGTTGGAGAAGGTCGCAACCGATGCAAGCGCCAATAGACCGGCAGACAGCTTTGTCTGACTATTTCCTAGACGAAGTACGTGCACGCAGGTACAGCGTAGGTTGAAATATTACGCCAATGGCGAGAATTCACCAGTATGATACTTGTTAGAACCAACCATGTCTGTTCGGCAGCTCAAAAGGTGGTCATTGATTTGGATAAAAGCATATTGATCTTATAAGCTATATATATA